ACTACCTGACTGCCAAAGTCTGGGACCTCAACATGGAGAGCAAGCCCCTGGAGACGTACCAGGTGTGTGACTGAAAAACATGAGGCTGTGTTAAAATACAGCAAACACACTGAATATTTTCTCTCAGGCTCAGCTACTTTGATGAGATTTTGTCTGGCAAGGAGCAAATTTACTCAAGGAAAAGTGAACTGATCAGTGGTTTAGTAAGCATTAACATATTTTCTTTTCAATTCACTCATCTCCCAGGGAGCAGGGATTACTGAAGATCACAACTGGAATTTGAGATGTATAGTGTAAGATGGAATTTCCGCTCGTGTTCTCATATTCCAAATACTCTTTACTAATCTTGGCACAGCGGCGGTGTTCAGACAGAATACTGTAGTCGTGTTTGTACTAGCTCATTGGCTGTGTTATTATTGTTCCATCATTACCGGCTCATACATTGGTTGTTGACTAAAACATGCAGTCATATCAACTTTATAACCCGATACTTCTATGCCTGCTGATATCCACACACCGAAAGACAAACTGAAAAAAATTAAAAGAAACAATGCAACTGCAGATGCTTCTATACACAACATGAGGTGTCACTGAACTATGTGAAGTACTGTACGCTATGTTGCTTGCACTCACTATATCTCAACCCAGTTTAACAGCGATGAGAATTTTTCGACTGATGTTGTTAAGCACTCTCCACCACCATCATCAAAACACCAAGTTGAGGGAATATCTTTTGGAAGAATATTGTTTCGTCCTTCCATTAGAGTTCCAGAGACTTTTACAATCTGTTTCAAGGAGCATTGAAGCTGTTCTAGTGGCTCTTGGCCAAACACCTTAATTAAACACTTAATACTGTTTTTTTCTTTGCTGTGTAGCTGTTTGTATTAGAAGGTCACTGCCTTGACGCAAGTGTTAGCGACTGAAATCACAGTTGTGTTGTCCAAACTGCTAGGTGACTAACTGTCCCTGAAAGACAGCATTGTCATCCTGGAAAATGTGCATAATTATAGACAGAAATGAATCACAGGAACAAGGCTGCCTCTCAGAATCACTGTACTTACTGATGATTAGATTTTTCCTAAACCTTTTAAGGATAATTGGATTGATTACGTGCCAGATAATGCACTTCTTCCCATCAGTGCAGAAACACCAGAAACCCTCACTGAGTTTTTAACTTTGGGCTATAATCTGTAGTGCATCTGTGTGTGTTTAGCAGATTAATACATGTGAGACAAACACAAACAGTAAATTATCATTATACCATGTATGAGTGGTGGACATTAAGTGGGCCTAACATCCTGTGAAAAATGTACACATACAACACTAAGTACTAAGCTGATAAAAAAGATTTTTCTCTATTTTTGTATGCAACTTTCCCACATCGACATTCAAATTGTCTCCAGATAATGTCACTTGTTAAGTGTTTACAATCAGCCACACCAGCCTGTGTTTATGCATTTATGTGCGGCAGAAGTATTTATCAACTCCCTTTTTTCAGCGTGTGTTTAATATTCCTGCCGCGGGCGTGTGGGTGAGTGTGTGTGTGTGCGTGTGTGTGCGTGCGTGCGTGCGTGTGCGTGCGCGTGCGTGTGTGTGTGTGTGTGTGTGTGTGTGTCTGCTTGACGTGTGAGGGCCTATGAGGCAGCCAGGAGTGGGAGGCTAAGACGCACTGGAGCTATTTATAGGCTGCCGAGCCTCCACTCATAAAGTGAAGCGGGAAGGAGGGATACCTTACACAGCGCCCCACACCTAGATCTGCAATGCAGCATGGAGAGGGAGGAAGAAGGGGGAGGGAGGGTGGAGAGGGGTGAGGGTTTGTTGAGGTGGTGTGAGGATGGTGTGATGAGAGGAGGAGAGAGGAATGAGGGGAGAGTTTGTAAATTAGAGGATGAGAGAGTTCCATGGTAGAGATATGTGGATGAATGGAGTGAACTGAGAGAAACATAGGGGAGAAAAATAATTTCAGAGCTGAACTCCTTATTTTGGAAAGTTTACACTGGTATTTCTCCTGGGGCATGAGAAATATGCACAAATCCATGATTGATGAGGCACTGTACTCTAAATCAGAGATCATGCGGGCTGGGAAAAAAAAAAAAAAAGACAGTATATTCAACTCCAGCTGTCACTGTATCATTTCACCTTATGCAGAAAGATCCACAGGGGAAAACAAAAATGTCACCAGGTTTGATGTACAACCATGAGCCGACCTCAGCTTGACCGTTTATTGATTGCGAGGCGACTGTTGACTGCTGACTTTATGCAGAATGTGAAAACAGGGGGCTTAATGCAGAGCACCGTGGCTGGAGGAAGGTGTAGATTTCAAACCTTTGCACCACCGAGCCGGCACAGTGCTGACACAGGCAGGTCGAATGAAAGCACTAGGGAAAAGAGTTATTAGTCAGTGAATATGTTTGTGTGTGAGTGTTCACATGTGTGTCTCTGTTATCATGCCCTTGGTGGGTTTGGTAATAGAGAGCTGGATCGTAATGGATTTACTGATATGGAAAAGGAGTTTAGATTAAAATGTACTCCTGGCCCTCTTATTGCTGAGGGCTGGTGTTGTGTCTTATTAGTGTTGCCTTCAGAGAGGTTTGCGTTACAACTTGCCCACATTTAATGTGTTTTGTCTGTGCTGGGATTTGTATGTGTGTGTGTGTGTGTGTGTGTATCTTCGTCTTCTGCTCACTCTTCTATTTATAGTTTACATTGAGAGTCAGTACCTGGGAGTGTAGCAGCTGTGTGCTGGACTCATGTGTAATCATACCTGTGCATGTGTGTGTGTTTATTCCTCCAGGTTCATGATTACCTCCGGAGCAAGTTGTGTTCCCTTTATGAAAACGACTGCATCTTTGACAAGTTTGAGTGTGCATGGAACGGCTCAGACAGGTACCTGAAGTGTCCAGACATCTTTGTCTGTTTTTTGTATTTTCAACATGTCTGAGGTGAGGAAAGGAAGACTGTTGCTTGTATTTTCTGGGGGTGTTTTTAAGCTTTTAAATGGCTTCACCCAATTTCCAAAAAACACATTTTTCTACATTCACATGGTGGTATCTTGCCATGCTAATAGCTTCTGTTTTATGTGCTGAGGTTTTTTAGAAATTTCAAAGAGGAGTATCCATTACCCAAATACAATACAATGATTGATCCAGTACAAATAGACATCAACAGAATTTCTCTTAAAGCACTGAAGTATTACATTTGAAAAATTCAACAGCAGCAGCTCTTTCCAGTAGCTGTGTCTTCGTAGCTCAGGATAATCCGCAGACCTCACAGTGAACAGTTCTCTAAGGATCTATTTTTTTTTTTTAAATTGTTCACTGTTTTGTTTTTTTTTTGTTTCTGTCCAGAATCAAATTAGGGACGATTCAGTTATAGGATACACATCTTTATCACAAGGTTGCCTCATGTACAGCGTTTTTTTTTGTTGATTATCTAGAGTCAAAACTAGACACTAATTTTGGAAAAAACAAATTGCCACTGAGTTTTTCAAAACTAATTTTTCAATGTTATGAGTTTATTACTTGTTTATCTATAGGGGTCATCTCAGTTTGAGTGTTAAATTATTATATAATTTGTGTAAACAATGTAAGCATTTATATTTGGCTGCGTTGACGCTACATTGAGCTACTTCACTATACTGTTGTGTAGGTTATCACGTCTTGGACAAAAATTTGGATAACAATTTTATATTTGGATGAAAATACCTGTACCTAATATAGCATAAGCATAAAATAAATATAGTCAGGTGAAGTACAAGCACTGTAAAATTGTACATAAATACAGTACTTGAGTTGTTAGTTACTCTCTACTATTGAATAAACTATTCCTGTTTCTGATGTAGATGAATCAATCCAATAAAGTTATCTATAGAATGGTGGATGTGTAAGGTTAGGTTACGAAATCTGGCCAATGACAGTCCTCATTAGTTTAGTAGGAGAACAGAGAAGGAGAATGTTTGAGTGTTTCTAGACGGTCGTAACAGGATCCTTCTCCTCCTATGTGCAGTGTGATCATGACGGGAGCGTACAACAACTTTTTCCGCATGTTCGACCGGAACACCAAACGCGACGTGACCCTGGAGGCATCAAGAGAGAGCAGTAAACCCCGAGCTGTCCTGAAGCCCCGGAGGGTCTGCGCCGCCGGAGGAAAGCGCCGGAAGGACGACATCAGCGTGGACAGCCTGGACTTCACTAAGAAGATCCTCCATACGGCCTGGCACCCGACTGAGAACATCATCGCCATCGCTGCCACCAACAACTTGTACATCTTCCAGGACAAACTCAACTCTGAGATGCATTAGTGAACGGATGTCAGCGGCGTATACGAATGAGTTTACACCTGAACACACAACTATGCCAGAATGTACACATTAACAGACATACACACACAGGAATATGCCTAATCCACACACACATAAGCAGAAAGCATACACACGTATGTCTTCTCTGACACTCCTCCACCTCCTCCCCAGCCACTGAAAGGACCTAGAAAGGGCTAGAAAGGGAACAGGCTGGATTACGCAATGGATTATGGATTGCAAAATTGTCCGAACTGTGGATTTCTTGATTGTTAACCTCTGGATTGTGCTTGATGGTGTGGTGATTGCTACAGCTCAGCTTCTGATGGGGATAACCCCCGCCCCCCCAGACAGGAGAGATGTTTACATGTTTGTCTTTTTTTTTTTTTTCTTCAGGCTCTTTTTTGCTTTCTCCACCTCCTCCTCCTCCTCTTCTCTCTGTATTTGTGTGCTCGAGCAAAGCCTATTCTTATCCCTTGCCCACTGTTTTGTGTAACAAAACCCTTCGTGGTTGTCTACCAGCGGCACTGATGAAAAATGGGGCATTTATGTAACTGGCTGTTTGTTTGATTTCAGATCAGCTACCCCACTTCTGTTTTTGTAACTTGTTAGATGATGTTAATGATGGTAATTATGATGACAATGACAATTTGAAATGATATGTGTGATGTGCAAGGATGAACTCGGGACCCCTCCCCTTAACCCAAGTGCACCCAGACGCCTCTGAGCTCAATTGGACTGTGTCCAGTGAGGTAAAAATATTTACAGTCCTGCAGATAGAAGCAGAAGTTAATAGATTATTACACCACGGTCTAATATGAGGACACACACTCATATCTGCTCCACACAGTGTGTTTCAGTCATCCAACTTCTCTGATTGTGGATTCTGCTTCTGGTCTGGAACTGCGTCATGTGCTACTTTGCCGTTAAATACAGTTCAAATCAAGCAGAAAAAGATTTTTAAAAATAAACAAAATAATTTCAACAATCAAGCAAAATGATGCTGCATGTCAAACAGATTTAGCCTAGGTGTTTATAAATTGACTGACTGACTGACTTGGCTGCCTTCTTAACCATTTAGACCCAGCTGTACAAAGGCTTCAGGGGCCCCGGCGCCCAGTGCAGCACGAGTAACCATAGATGGCCGAGCTCTCCTACCTTTGTTTGTGTCTTCGGACACTGAAGCATGTTTACCAGTGTTCGGTTCATACACTTACATGTACATTTTGAATGAAGCCGTCAAAGAATCAGTTTCGACTCCACTGAAACTGAGAACCAAGAAGAATGGGGAATGTTTGATTAATGTTGTACTCTTAAAGAAAAAGAAAAAAAAATCAAAGGGCCTAAATGGTGTCTGTATATATCAACTCTGTTTTTGACACATATGAGGTTTTGTTTTTTTAACATCCATAAACGGACTGCGGACTCCATCATCTGTATTGATGATTGCCTCCACAGCTACAGCAGAGAGATGGTACTTTAATCTCTTCAGCCTTCCTCACGGATTACTTTGCTGATGTGCAGAAGCTTTTATTTTTAGAGAACAAGTTTATTCTTTTATTTATCCTTTTTTGGAAACATCTGTCAGTTTAACTCCACGTCCTGACCAAACTAATGTCGATTCACATATTTGTATGTTAATGTATGTTGTTGACAAAATTGTCAAATGGACAGTTATAAATAATGTTAATATGTTTTTTTTTTTGAATAAAGATTTCAACAAAATTGCATCCAATGAGCGTACAGCTGTGATTTTTATTGCAATTTAATCAGAGCTGGTAAAACAACCATTATGTTAATGTGCACGCTTTATAGCTTTATTTTATATGGGCCTTTAAGGGGTCATCATCACAGTCTGTGATATAGGTGAGGTCATGTAGTCTAAGGCACCACCTAGTGTCATGACACACTTATTACACCTGGAGATAAATGATTCCAGGATTCACTCCTGCAATGCTTTATAAACTTTTCCTGCCATGCCCCCGTTTGGAAGCTGAAAAAATTACACATTTACCATTTGTAGTTTAATTTACTGGTAACGTTACTGGAAAATCTAGTAATAAAAGAAGCCATTTTGAATTTTATTGATATAAATAATGTGTATATATGTGTATAAATTTTTTTGTGTTGCACAAATGAGAAATTCAGGTTCAACTTTGCTCAAACTGCCTGAGTTTCTTCACACAAAAAAAACACCATTATCTCCTGTTGCATTCAGAGCAAAATTGGCTTTTTTCCATGGATTTGACTGCTTTGTTTATGTGATGTATCACCAGCTTTTCTTCCTCCCATGTCAAAAGTCTGTTATTCTTGTACTTTCACGTTGTTTTGCTTTTTAAATACATCTCTTGTTCCTTCATCTTTCTGAATTTAAACTAATTTATACCCATTTTTTACATGAACGGTGGCTCTGTTCTATTCAAGTATCCCAGTAAGTCATGACAGCGAGTCAGCATGCACAAAGCCAGGACCCTGAAACTGAGACAGCTAAAAGGAATTCAACCACCATTCATTTTGTTATTTACACCTGTGTTTTTCCTCCTATTGCACTGAAACTTCAAGCCAAAAGTTTGCGTTTAAAATGAATATATAATGCAATTAATGTTAAACAAAAACAGCAACAAGCAAATGTTTTCATCATATTTATGGGTCACAGTACAGAAAACAGTAGTGACATCCTATTTTAAAAACACATCATCACTCAGGGGCTGCAAATGTTCAATATATTAAATCTCTGCACAGCAGAGATGGAGACAAAACAAGGAAGGAGAAAGAAGAGGAGAAACAGCAAGACACACAAGAACAGAGAGAACAGCTGAGGTACACATGAATAACAGCTCTGTAATAAATACAAGCACAGAGGCAGGTGAACTTTTTAAAAGGTAAAGGATTAAAGACATGATTTAGTCTGTTCTCTCCAAAATTACTATTTAACTGACAATATGTCTTATAAGGCACTTGAAAACCACTTCAAAATTACATACTTGACATGTATAGTAGTGTATAACTTTAGATGATTATGGTTTGACATGAAAGGAAAACCTTATCACAAGGATGACCAAAAGAAAAATGTCTTCTATCATTTGTAGACACAAAAAGGAAATGAGAGCACAGTATAACAAGGAAAGTGTAAAATGTCAATACTGATGATTTTGGCCACATAGTGTGTCACAATATTGACCAACACACATGAAATTGGGTGCAGCGGACACACTTTTTGTATGGCAAACCAACTAAACCAAAATTACTTAATTAACAGACTCTTGTGGTGACCACAATTGCAGCTTAGATGGGATGAAATGTTTAGTGACTCCAGCTGAGGCAGTTTGATCATGGTTTTTTTACTTATTAAAAAGCTCATTAGTTTGTGTTTCTCCCCCTTTGTAAATTTCATAGTCATTATATTATGTACTCTCACACATTTTGGCTCAAACCCTAGAAGAATGCAAACACAAACTCACTCAGTACAGATTCCATAAATATTTAAGTGTCTGTCCACTCCACTACAGTAAGAAACTCTCCAACAAAATATTTAGATTCTGTTAAGAACAGAGACATACAATCATTAATGTTCTTCCGCTGAGGATAGTATTATCATTACACGCATTTTATCACACTTCTTAGCATCAGTTCTACATTTCTCCCAGAGATGCGTCTGGCAGATCTCTTTCCCTCTATCCCTCCTCCTGTGTCACATTCTCCGTTTCAGTCTCTGTGTCTGAGTGTTGTTCTAGCTGAGCGGTCAGGAAGGGGTTAAAGAAGAAGTCAAAACCAAACTGCAGGGCATTCTGAGCCGTGCGCCTCCAGTCATGTTCGATCTTATATTGCCTACGGCCCGGCACTCTAGCACCACCGCATGACATACAGTGAATGGCTTTCAGTTCAAACACGGGCCATTTGGAGCCTAAACGCCCCTCCAGTATGGTGCTAAACTCCACCAGGCTTCCTGTGTTTAAGTGTAGGAGCATAGACTTGAACTCATTGCTAGCACGCAGAACTATGTCTTTAGTTGCGTCTTCATCCTCTATGATCGTCCCGTTCTTGGTCTTCCTCTCCAGCGGCATGCCCATCGTGACTTCGAATTTGTATCGATCAAAGCGTTTGACGTGGCATTCGTGCTTGGCCAGTCTTTTAAGTTTACAGAGGGGGTCTTCGGGAGGGGGAGCCGGGGCAGGCAGAGGCTGGGGCACAGCTGTGGCGTTTCTAACCTCCTCACACAAAGGATACGGCTCACCGTACAGGCACCGCATCCAGTTCCCCACAAACACAGGCAGCAGGTTAACAACTGACTGTGGCCCATTCTCAATGTCGGTCACTCGGACGTATTTGAAGCGTCCGGTCCAGGTGACACGATGTCCTTCGAGATGAGAGCATAGAATCTGAGTTTGGGCCATGTTGGACTCTTTCCAGGACAGAGGACCGCAGAGGTTGCTGTACTCAGGCCACGTCAGGGTGGAGTTATACACCTTCATGCCTTCAGACCTGTACACGTACATCCAGCAGAAGAGCACCACCGCACTGAGCCACACCAGGATGAGCTTGACGATGCTGCTCCGTGACAAAGACCGAAAAACGGCAATGGGGTTGAGGCTGAAGCGAGTCCAAAGCCTCAACACAACTGGCACGAAGCAAACGGTCAGTGTGACAACCATCTTGGTCACCTCCAGGGCAAGGAACCACTGCAGTAACTGGATGAGGAGCATTGCGGCCAGGCCCAGTGAGAGTATAGGAAGGGCGAACAGGAAAAGGAAGTAGCCCACACAGGTGCGGATGAGTCCTATTGCACTGGCATTATTGAGGAACACCAAGCAGAGCTCACACCAGGTAAAGCAGACCAGGTAGGGGACCAGGCACAGGTAGGTGCCCTTGAAGCCTCTCAGCTGGGCCATACGGAAGAGGAGATAGAAAAGGTGTCCATATAGCAGACACGGCATCCCCAGGTTTAACGCCACAACGTCCCCTAGAGGCACAGTGATGAACGTCGCCCCAAAGACCTTGAGGAACCGGAAGGAGTCTGGCAGGAGGTAAGTGAGGGAGCAGGCGCCAGAGAGAACCTCTGTGAGGAGGGCTTTACGAGCAAAGAGCTGAGCAGAGGCATGAAGGCTGAGGAAGGCAGTGATGGTGAAGAAGAGAGCGATGGCAGCAAACTCTGAGCAAGGGATCCAGGATTTATCAGCAACAGGGAAGGAGAAAACCACAAAGACCACCGAGAGCAGGAAGTACCTGGGGACACAAAGACACAGGATGTACTTAATCTGCTGTACAAGCATTTTGCATATGTGTATTTGTCATCTTGATTCGATTCGCTTTCTTGAATTTGACATTTTATTTTCATACAACAACTTTTCTTTCTCAACTCTTTATATGTTCTTACAATTTGTTTTATTAATGTTTAGGTTCCAGAAGTTAAAACAAAAAAGTTACTCTTACTCTTAATTACTGTAACATTAAAATTATTATTATTATTTTTTTTTTTAAATACATAATTGTTTCTGCATGACAAAACCAGTGAAACGTGAACAAAACTAAACCGTTAACGAAACCAAGTAAACAACTAAAAGTGGTAAACTGAGCAAAGGAATGAACACGTTTACATATGGATGAAGGTAAACAGGGATGAACATACAGATAAGGCTCTAAGTGTGTCCATCCAAAGTTGGTCTCAGCCTGCTCCATATCAAGACCAGGTTCAAAGTGAGCCAGCAGGTCTGTCAGAGCCCGAAAGTTTTCCCATGCTTTTGAATTCTGTAGAAAGAAATGTGTATTCATTCAAAATTTAATGTTATTTTTAACTGAGCTTGATCCAAAATCTACAGGATTGATAGCAGTTGTCACTAACCTGAAATACCCGCAGTGTGCAGATGACCATGGAGAAGAATGAGAGGTAGAAAACCAGCAGGGGGATGAGGAAGATGAAGAACTCGATGGTGAGGTTGGAGATGATAAAGAAGAAGATGAGTGCATTGACGTGGTGGGTGGGGATCAGGGCGCTGAGCCACTGCATGCCAGCCCGCGACGCCCAGTCGATGAGGTGCTCCTTGATCTCCAGCAGAGCGTACAGAGGGAACTTCAGCAGCTAGAGAAAAATGATCAGCAGCTATTCAATATCAAACAAAAATGCAAAATGTGAAGAATATAATTATTTTCTTTTCCAGTTATCAGCTGTTCTGTTCAGTTCAGCAGAATCTCAGGTTCTATTTCAATTGTTTTTGGTTATTTTTGGTTTGAATCAACTGTGGACACATTGGTTATGATTATAATTTAAGTGATGCAGTGGCTGTACACCAGACAAAAAACAAAAGGTAACATTAGAAGTGGATAATACAGCAGATTAATAATGGGCACAATATCTGTGGTTCAGCAAACACATTAAACTTAATCAAAGTGTGAAATGCGAGGTAAATCTTCACAGGGACAGCATGCACAGCTACATCCTTACAGAGACAGAGAGCTTCCCACCTTTTGGTGCAGCGGCAACTCATCTGGATTCTTCACTACTACGCCATCATCGTCATCTTCATCATCGCCTCCTGCAGCAGCCATAACTGGTGACGGTGCAATACCCTGAGCGTACTTCTTAGTCATCTCGACGAAATCGTCAAGACCGACAAGGGAACTGGCTACACAGAAGACACGTGTTGTATGTTAACTCACAAGTCACTTTTTTTCTTGTTGTAACTACGATTTCATCTGGTTGAATGAATAAAAATAATGTTTTTATTCCCTTTGGGGCATCTTAGACGTTAATTACAAAATGTATGTAAACAATCACAGCTGTGATGACTTGTGTATGTTAAATAGGAGATCACACATACCCTCACTGGTGACCATTGTCTCCAGGACTCTCCTCTGTTTCTTGGCAGAGCTGTTTAGTGGACCAGGCGAGACTGGTTTCCCTGTAGATGAAGAAATGATTATATGAGATGGTAAAAAATTCCCCTCAATATGCAGCTTACTGTTTTTTTTGTCTTTAATTCTTTGTATTAATTTGTATTACCTGTTCAGTTTATATAACTTAATAAACTGTATGATGTCGGTGTGTCGAAAATAAAGTATATTTCCCATGCTACCTGGCTCTGCGTGGACGTGCTCAACGTTCTCTAGCATCTCCGAAACAGCCAGCGACTTCTTCCTCTCTGGATTCAACTTCCAGTACATAAGCAGAGCCGCTTTCCTAACTCCTCTCTCGAAACGAGTCTCTGTACACAACTTCTTCACCTCCTCAAAGTTCTCCAAAGTGATGCCTGAAAAACAAAAGAAGGCAAATGTGCATAATGTTAAAAGGCAAACTATTCCCAGGCAACTTTCATAATATCAAACCAACGATTTTTATGTTACCTATAGATTGAGGGTGTTAACAGTGGGACATTTTGGTACCTTTCCTGGAGGCCAAGCACTGCTGCAGCAGTTTGACGGCATCCTTGCGGCCTTGTTTAGCAGCCTGGACCAGCCAAGTGACCGCTGTGCAGTTGTTCAGCTCCTCATCCCTTTCTTCTGCTAATGCCAGGAAGTAACGCCCCATCTGGACACACAGACACACACACACACTTTAAGACTTGCAAGGCAAGCATCACTTTGACTTGGTGACCTGTCCTTCCCATCAAAATGTCACTCTAAAATAACATTTATCATTACTTGGCCGATCTGTTCTGTGCCCACCATATGGCCATTAAAGTCAACAGCATTTACAGTGAGTTCATTGACACTGACCTTGGTCTGTGCTTTAGCATCTCCTGACTTCGCTCTCACCTCCAGATCTTCAAAAGTGACCTCCTCCTCTGGCTCCTCTGAAGGACACAGGAAACCATTCACTAAACACTGTAGTCGATTTCATGGGTCTTTAAAACATTGTATTAGTGACACTAGATAAATCAGTGTTAAACAAAATCAACCATGTGATAAATTTGTGGCCGTTAAATATGATTACAGTAAACAATTGTATATATACTGTTGTATGTGAGTATTTCTATGGTAAATAGGAGAATTGTGCGAAACCACTAGTTTTTACAGCAACTAGTGTAGTCTGGGGAATAACTTAACTTCTCTCTCCTCCTCGACAACCATCCAAGTCATTTCCAGTTAAAATCAAACAACTAACAAGACTAAAATTCTTTGTATTTTTCTGCTAGGAAATACTTCTGCTACTTTATTTTTCTTGCTAAGAGCTTAAATTAGTCTTGAATTAGGTTTTCATCATGTTCTTTTCATGTTTCTTCAATACTTTGCACACATGGTCCACATAAACATTAAGAGGCATATGGAAACAGGTCAGTGACGCGAGTGATCCCAGAGCATGTGCATGAGTCAAATCCTTCCAGAAACAGCTCCTGTCCTGATAAGACTGTCCCACTGAACCCTGCCACTTTAATTATCATCTTTTTTCAGCTGATGACTTCTGCTACTCTCAAATCCCAGGGCCTCACTAGAGATAGAGCGGCCAGATGGAAAAGTTGTTGTTCTTAAAGCAAATGATAAATCTCTCTAACTATATACACCAGGGAAAAGATGGTGGGCAGCAACAAATGTGGAAACACTCTCCAAGTTTCAAAACGCCCACACAATGTAAGTGATACTGGTGAGGGAGGTGGTGCTGTGTCTGTGTCTGTCTGTTACAGGAAGCAAAAGGAAATGTGATGAGATCCAGCAGCTTCCGTCAGATGTCCGTCTGTGCTCCTGCTATGCTGCTCATATATGTAACCCACCACCTGAACCCTAAAATAACTTTTTGCTTAGCACAGTCAACAGCAGATGCTAGCTTCGTTGATGCAACTCACGCTCACACAGCGATGCAATCTGTCTCCCATTTTTACTTTCACTAGCTACATTATGATTATCTTTTCAATTATAAACAGCTAGGCACATGGTATGGTGTGTGTGTTTTTCAGGGGGCGGGATTAGATCTAATGGAAAAAAAAAATGGTCCAAATGAAATGACTGAGGTGTTAGATTTCACACTTTCCAGTAACACTCCATATTAACAAGATGTCACTGCAAAGTCACGCAGCAAACTAAAACATGATATCCTCAGCAGAACTAAAAGATCTCCTACTATGTGAACTTTAAATTCTGGATTTGGTTAGTGGAAAATAAACAGAGTTGAAGCTCTATCAAAAGATAGGGGTGAGACAGGCTTTTCTTCTCAAGTCAGCAGAATGGGAAAGGCTGCTTTACATGTTGTGGTAAATGTCTACAGTTGCTATGGAGACACTTCAGTACACGCAGTAAAATGGGGGTGTTGGCTGCACTGATTGTTGAAGAAGAGGGAGGGGAAATAGTGTAGTAAAGATTGTTTTTAGGATTTAAAGTGTAAAAGATCAAAGGTCAGTTTGATTCTCACCTGGTTCAGGTGTGGGAGGTGGCTGAGGAGCTGTAGCAGCAGCTAAGGATCCAGTTAGGGGATTCCCTGTAGCGGCTGCATTGAGCTGAGATCTGCCTACGTGAGATAGGCTCCTGGTGGGCTGGCGGAGAGGTGAGGCAGGTGGCGTGGACAGGGAGGAAGAGCGGGAAGAAAGACCTGGAGAAGTCCGAGGGGGGGCAGTGGAGGGAGAGGATGAGGGTGTGGCTGGAGGTGTTGGCATGCTGAGTTTAGGTTTAGGTCGGTCTGAGGTTGGTGTGGTTGTGATAGTGGATGAGCTGGATGAGGAGGGGCCCGCCCTGAGGGTGGTGGGAGATAATGGGCTTGGTTTTGGGGTGGATGAGTTGCCAGTCAGTGATGGTTCCATGGCTGAAAACCGCATCAGACAACAAATCAGTCAAAAAGAAAACTCACAATCAGAGAAATGACAGAGAATCTGTCAAAATAAAACATCATAAGCGCCTAAAGGTTTTGCACAGTACTGTATATCTGCTTCCCCTTTAACATGGTGCCAGCAGACACCTGTGGCTCTCAACCATATGCCACCAAGACCCAAGCGCCAAGCGCCTGCAGACTTTCATTCTAACAACACTATAACAACTGATGGCTAATAAAGAAGTAGACTGGAACTATATATCAGTCTGCACATTTTTTTTTTTGCCCCCATGACACACAGCTGAGTACTAACATGTGCTGACTAAACAGTCCAATTCCCTTTTACTCAGGACTTAACATCCCTGTATAATATATATACAAGTTTAAGTTAAGTTTGTTTCAGCTGTGCAAAACTTTTTGCCTTCTGTGAAAGCAGACCCGTCCTGTGGTCTGCAGTCTATTTTAGACATTATTTCTAAGGGATTCCCGGGCAGCTATATTGAGACGGTGTCATCTCTGACGCTGAGTGCCCTGACTGGGAACGTGATGAGTCCTGTTGCAGTTTAGGGAACCCCCCTTTGACCCGTACGAGGAGGCTCTAATGACACTGATTTAACTGGTGGGGTTGACATACAGATAATCCTAATAGTGATCACAATTCAGCCACTATTCATTCACAGCTACACTGCAGTGTAAATACCGAGATACAAAAAGACAGTGGCAGATGTGGCAGGCAGCTTAGATAACCCAGTGGTCTTGTTGCTAATGCTAAAGTTGTCCGCTCACCTTTACCACGTACGTACCGATTTATTTCTAAATCCTCCAAGTGAAAATACTTCGAGAAATATATCAGTTTCTTTTTTACTCGGTGTCCCACGTCATTCTTCCCTTTCGCTTTCGTAAAATCTTCCTCCTGTCCGCTGTTTTGCAGTCGGTCAAACTCCAAACACATACAATGTACAGGAAAGTCTGCCAGCTGCTCCACTCGACGTTCACGCCTACTTCGTATCATGATGGTTTTGATTGGACAAAACAGAGGACTCACTTTCCTTAACGCGATTTGATTGGCTGCTGCGGCCGAAAGCGCAAACAATTTATCTCAGTCATGAACAATCAACCATCGAAAGATTTCATGTTAAAGGTAAGTGGCTGAATCCTTAAGATCAGGGACACTAATTTTCATTTATCAACACCAGTTTAAATGGGCTAAATTCAAAAATAAGTTTCTACAGTTGAGCTTGAGACCTCTTTAAATGCACTCTCACTTTATATTAATCATTATTCGATTTCATCGATTTCATTCGATTTTCTTTTTTCTGTTTGCAACAACAGGATGTTTGTTTTCTACCAGGAGATGGCAGTAGCCTACATGACATGTTTTTATTTACAAATGTGATGAACTTTAAAAAGATTATTATTTTCCTTCAGTTTGTACAGTCTTTGAAATTACATTAAAAACGGATAAAATATATTCTTTGCTTTGTTTTTTTATAAGTAATAATCTCTTCGTTTTACTTTTGCATTTGCATAGGATGTATAAGCTATGATAGTGTAGTCCATTTTTATTTTGTTACTATTTTTTATGATAAATGTTATAAAGAATCATACAGTATTTTTGTCCCATGAAGTTTGGACTAAATGGCAGTACATTTTATTCTTAGAGTATTTTAAGAATAAATCACATTTATAAAAAGTGTTGCTTCACAGAAACATACAACAACAACATACATACAGAAATGTATGCTTTGAGTTGTGCCACTAGATTAAACTTGTAATCGATAGGTTATCGGTACTCAATAAACTTGACCTTCCATTTATGGTTGAATATAAACAGTCTGAAACCCAAAAATATTCAGTTTACTATCATGTACAACAAAGAGCTGCAGCAAAAAAATTTTGCTCAGCTGTGGTGAGAGGAGGAAATGAAACAGAAGACTTGTGGTTTACAGAATTCACCGCCTTCAAGTATTTTGCTAGATCTGAATATGATTTTGGGATTAAAAGCAAATAATAGTCAGATTTAGCTTTTCTTATTGCAGATGTGCATTTGTTCCAAAGCTGCCTAAAAAAAGCAAACTGGTGACTCTTGCCAGACGCCAACATGTCTGGCAAGAGTAACTGCTTTATTTCACTCTTTGAGAAGGGATGAAATTTCTGCTGAGAACCAAGGATTTGACCAATTTTTACTTTTTTAAAAGTTGCATGTTTATCAACTTCTGACTTAAAAGACTTACAAAAAAGGCCTGCTCATCACAATGTTTGAAATTCTGTCTTATTGCCATATGTGAACATAGTTTTATCATTCTGGTGCTTCTAATGCAAGCTATTGGACAATGATCACTAAAAACAAGCTCGATTATATAGATGAGATTATTAAGATGATTCTTTTTGACCCTTGAATTGACAGGTCTGTGCCCCCAAATCCCAGGAATAACAGATGGTGTATGGTGATTGCCACACCAGTAGGTGGAACCTTATGAGTGTGGAGTCAGTTTGATAAAAGGTGTGATGGAAACTATAAGAGGGAAAATTTCAGCTTTTGTTGGGGGGCGGGGGGTTTGGCTCACAGATTATTGCTGCTATTTGCTTACCACTGCAGTACATGATATTTTAAAGTTACATTGGCAGTGGGAATATACAAGAATTAGCACAACAGTGACAAAAGTCATTTAAGTATTTAAGAAAAGCATAAGGTGCTTATAAATAACAACTATATAATCTGATTCACTTTTGGATTCAGTGTTTGTCCAACAACTAAGTTTCATCACATGATCCAAACTACACATTTCAGAGAGTACAGGCAAAGGTAGCTTGAGTTATTTCTTCTGCAAAACTAACAGGTAAAACTTTAATAGCCTGCCTCCAAATCTGTGATTTGAGTGTAGTATTTACTACGTGTTTCATTCTGTGAAAATAACATGTTAATTAAGAGCAAACAAGTTACTAAGGTTATGTTTCTAAGTTTGTAACTTTGTTCAGAGGTGTGTCTTTTTGCTCTCATACAGAGCAACCTGCCAGCAGGAAAACATTAAAGTTCAGAAGAGCGAGACCCAGGCAAAAAAGGAAATGGAGCAGACAACAGAAAAGAGAAGGACTCAAAAGAAAGAGTGAGATTAAAGTTCAATTCTGGGAATGAGAGTAGATACCACATTGTGGGAAAAGAAGGAAATGGGAGCAGTAATTGCTTAACTGCTGCTGCATTAAAGCAGTTATGTAAATGCCTCCCGATTAGTAGATTAATGAAATCCAGTTGAGAGGATAAGCAGGACCCTTGTACTGGTTTTAGTCTTTCACATGCACACCTTCAATCTATATTAGGCAATCTGTCTTTTAAGTGGACTTAGACACACACGCACTCACTGACGCAATTCTCATCTAATTTGAGCAAGGCAGCTCACGATAGATATTTGTAATAATGAGCTTGTTATGAGTCCAAATCTTTTGATTATGCAAAACCCCTTGCAGATTTGTTTGGGCTACTGTGCCCCTGTCTGAGATGGTCACAGTCATCACTCAAAGCTTTTTACCATGTGGTCACTACTTAGCTGATTGAAAATTGAAATAAGCTGGTCTTTTTTTTTTTTTTTTACATCAGTCTGTTTGTTGTCTCTGTCGGTATCCCCTGTCCTGAAAGTAGTGACTTAAGACTCAAGTGATGGAGACTCACCATCATCTTTCCTAATTTCATATCTGGCAAACCCTCTCCCTCAGTTGCAGTGATTAAAAGCTGCCATATGACACAACAGAATGGAGGCCATTAGTCCCACATTCACTCAGCCCCCCTCTTCATGTCCTGTCTGTGTCTATGGTAACAGGTCCCTGTATATACAGCACAGGCCCCACCCATGGGCTCCCCCGGCATTGCCAGTGACTCTCACAGGAAGAGACACTTGAAGAGGAGGAGAGGAGATATGGTCAGCAACCATAGCAACCAGAAGGGTTATGTGAGAACGGACATTGACTGCAGTGAAGATGAGTATTTCCATCACAAATGCAGCCCAGTAGCTGTTCTGACCTTTGAAGTTTCTGTCTGCAGGGAAATGGGCTGTAATTCTGGATCAGCTGTAGCCAGCTAACACTTCGTTCAGTTTTCAAGACCTGTGATAGTTTATAATTACATCTACTATGAAAAATATTGTACGTGCTTGTTTATGTTATGATACTAATATAAGAACAGAGGACATGCTGTCATACTATCTAGATAGCCTACAGGAAATCCCTTAATTTCTCAGACAGCAAATTAATCCAAGTCTCATGAAATTGGTGCCACTGACTGATCATCTTAAAACATGAGTACTTTATAATATAAATGTTATTATGAAGTCCAGTTGTGCTTAAATCATTGGCACATCCTACACATTTTCCAAGTGGGGAAAAAACTCGGCTCCTTCCTGTGGGTTATGTCCCTCCTTCAGCTGCCAGCCCTCTTTGTATTGATCTGCTGCTATTTGAGGCCTGAGTGGAAAAGAAGGCAGAGAAGAAGAAAAATTAAGTGATACAACAAGGAGAGTAGGAATAGCTGTAAACAGCCAAGCCTTTAGTTACAACCTTTTAGATTCGAGATTATGTTAGTTTCGATTTTTTTGTGTTTTGTCTCAATAAGATAAAATAAATCAACAAAGACTGTAATATTAAAAAAAAAAAAAAAAGTTCTGTGCAACACATTGTTTATTTACATCTTGGGCCAATGGAACTAATGCTAAGACAACCGTATAACTCTCTTAACCTTTCTAATTGAGTCATTAAACAGCTTCTATTATGATTCTGAGTGAAGGCAGAAATAGTCCATTTGTAGAGTGAAGTAGGCCTGGACTGTCCAAATGAACATTAAACACCTCATATCTTACTTGTAAAGTCAGAAAAAGAGGCAGATTTATGTTACTGTGTTTGAAAAGCTTTTACACATCCAAAGCAGCTTCAAAGACCCTATTTACTGTTACACATGAGATTTTTGTCTTGTTATGTTCATGTTATGAATGAATGGTTTTGGGGATGGACCAGGAACATCAGGCTCAGATTTTTTAGTGACTAACAGTGGTGAGTCATGCCCGGGAAGCCTAATTACCTTCATATGAAAATGTTACGTCACCACAAGCACTCCAGACTGGGGATGTGGGTTTACATTGTGGAAAATGGGTCAGTTTGGTGGCTGGCTCCAGAAATTGCCTGAAAGGTGCCTAATGTTTGATTCAGTGTCCCTTTATGTGTATGAGTTTGTTTCAACTAAATCTTCTACAGATGGCAGGTTAGCTCCTCATTTGATTCCCTGGCCCCTTCTGAATACCAAAGGCCATCTTTAAAAGCTATAATAAGATCAATCTGCAAGCAGTCATGAATATGTTAAGCTTATTATGGACAGCTCTCATTGATATGCTGAAAACCTAAGATGATTATGTTAAATTAATAAAAACAGTGACTCGTCACATTACTGTGTTCCTCAACTGGGTAAAAGAAATGGAAAAAGGCTGACTGACTAGATCTACCGTTATCATTGCTAATGAGTGAAGTAGTTTGGTTTTTCCCAGGAAGAAATCGGCAACTAAGATGCTTGTATAACTTATCCCATGACACATAGTCAGTATACCTTTTCTTTGACACATATCACAGGCTCAGGATGATTTCACCTACCCTCACTTAAACACTTTAATCATCACCAGTATTAATGTAATAACACCTTGGGTTTTTCCTTTATCTAAGGAGGAGATATCAGGAAGCCCTATCACATGGCTATTTATATGGAAAAACGTTCCTTTATTCACTTTCTGAGAACGTTCTCCAGTTTTTCTTTCAGAGGGAGCATGGTGCAAACACAGATTCACAAAATACAATGCTGCCTAAAACAGTGAAACAGTGATACCTCAGGCAAAACAATTAATAGAAACACTCATTACCGTTCCCTGACACACATTCGCTCTCTGAGTCAATTCTTTAGCAAAATAAAACAGGACACACATCCCGCCCTCTCCTCACTGC